GCTTCTAAACACTGTCTCAGTGTGGAGGCAGAACTGAAACAATAAAAGCCTTTGCCTACTCGCAGAACTGTTCTTGTGTGGATGACCTCACACATGAAAAAGTCTGAGGTGTCAAAGGACGCTGATGCACCCAGAGTGGGTCGTATTCATCACTTTGCATCATTTATGGCCGGCCCTTAGTGCTCTTGTGACAATCAAAACTAAAGTTATTAAAAAGCCGTCACAAACCTCACACCAAACATGAAATTCAAGCTCAACATTTCTTTTTAATGAAAGAGTGGCTGATTGTTTTGAAAAAGAGTGATAAAAAAGATGTAGGATGCACATGTGGATGCTTGAAAATAAACAAAAAAATGGTAATCATCCACTTCCACATGGTTATCACAGTAAATTAGCCATTATATAGCAAATTATTATGCAGTAAAATTGGAAATTATCTTCTATTCATGAGTGAGGCCAATTCCTGTTCCAAAGTGGCTCCCGTCACGAGGTTGGGCACAGAACGGTGTTTAAAAGTGAAGCTGAAGGCCAGAACTGTTTCTTTTTAAGTGTTCAGTCTAATAAAAGGAAGAGGAGAAATCCTATTTGCAACACAGTCTGTGCATTTACAAGAGAAGAGAGGCTGGATGCTGGCCTTCACTGCTCCTAAGGAAAGCTGTGAAGACAGAATCAGACAAGCTCTGACCTTTATGTTTCTCTCAGTAGATGGTGTCATTTAACTGGAATCTTTTGTTTTGCTAAAGTATGAATAAATTGGGTAATTTCTCCAGTCTTTTTAGTTTCTTCCAGCAATCAGATTTCTCATACAGAGTGTGCAGAAGCTGAATGTCACCAACACTAAGCTTTGTGTTTTGTAAACAAAAATAATAAAGTTAATTTGTGTCACTAATCCCTACTCCTATTGTCTTTGAATAAAGAGCCATGGATAGGAGTAAGTTTAGAGATAAAGGTAATATTAGGAAGTGTGACTCAGCCTTTGTTTGCAATGAATATATAACAATTCATACTTGGACTTCATTGTTGGTGATTTAGTCTTCTGATCTATTTTGCAGTGATCAGCCCCAGAAGCATCTTTGAAGTGTACACTGAAATGTGTGTGAATAATAACCATCATTAAAGCCCCTATTTTAAAGTATAATAAGAACTAATTTAACTTTGGATTTATCCGGTTAATGCGCAAAATCCTACAATCACCAGCTGTGGTTGTCTCCTTTTTATAGACAAGATGAGACCTTAACTAAACTTGGTGTGTTTGCAGCTCTAAATTCATTAGAGAACCTCCAGGGAGTTCACAACCTCTGCCAGCCCGTCACATCTGTCGTGGAAAAGGAAGCAAAGGGTGGAGTTAACAGAAGCTGGTGACCACAAGCTGCTCCCTGAACCCCACACAAAACCTCCATGTTCCACAACAAAGCCCCAGACTCATCTGCTGACGGCTTCCCCTCAAACAGAAAACGCGCCGCTCGTATTTAAAACGATTAGAAGGATTCAATCATCTGCTTTATAACCAAGATTTAAGATCAAATTAGAAGGATCGGATGGGTGTGACAGCTGTTGCCCAGAGCGCACCCAAATCAAGCCTATTTTAAAAGCTTTTCACAATTTTCATAAAAGACCAGATGAGCACTTCAAGTCATCAATGAGCTTTTGACTTTGGCAGATATTTTTCATTGGAGTCTGGTTTATCAAATCATGTTTGAAGTTTAATCATTTGAAGAATGGGCATGCTGCCGGTTTAAAACTTAAAAATAAGGTTTGTAAGCATTAACATAACAACCAAGAAAAACCAGGACATCTGATGTGACTATATATCTATATTAAGTTATTGACCAATCTCCCCAAACAGAAGGTCTTGACCTGATCTGCCCTGTGGTGACAGAGCCATTAACCTCAGCAGCAGGCACCAAATCTGCTTCGTCAATGCACTGCTCTTTCTTAAATCTATTTCTGGTCTCAGTCTGTAATTTAGGTGGCTCCATTACTACATTATTTATTTAGATTGCGAATCATGCGGCCCCTAGAAAAGAAACCACAAAACTTTGCACTTCAATTACAGACCTCACATGTCTGTAGCCACACATTGAATGAATCCCCTCCTCACAACTCCGTCTGCTCTAAAAAGGGACTCCAAAAATGAGACACTAAGAAAAAAACTGACAACAAGACAGTTTGTCACCAAGTCGCCTGCGCTGCTGCATTCTCAAGGCGCTCCAAACATGTCATCAAGAGTCAAAAAGCTGTACACACAGTTCCTCTTTTGCTGCCTAGTGTTGATAATAAGATCATTTGGCTGTCAAGGTGACTAGTCAGAGACCAATTCTGTATCCACAATGTGCCAAAAAGCACATTTGGAGGCTAATTAGCTTATTGCAGCAGTGTGTTGTTCATCAAATCCCTCAGTTGATTTGTGATCCAGAGCTATGTGTGTACAAAAAAATGGTATGAAGAAGACCCTGCAGAAACATGTGTGGCAAGTATGTGTGTAAGCACTGAGGATGAGACCGGTGCAGCAGACAAACAAACTAAACGTTTGATGAGCTTTCCCTGATGAAGCATGACTAATTTTAAACTGTTCTTTACTTAAAAGCTAAATGCTGATATTACCTTGAGCATACACAAAGAAAAATTAAGTTTTTCATAGTTTTCAAAAATTCTTTGATGTGATTTAATGAAAATCTGCTCAGCTACTTCAACCAAGATCTAGCATTTCTTGAACGAATGCAAACCGCATTATCATGACAGTTTTCAGCTCAGAAAATGATGGCCTTGTAGCCATTTTGGTCATACCTCGTGTTATGTAAAATCCCATACAACATTCCAAGATAACTCTCAGCTACTACCACACCCAATTTGAGCTCAATGTCTGTGAAATTGAAGGTGCTACAGCCATTCTTGTGTTGGCTAAGGTCCATTAATTGGGGTAGACATCTTGAATTAAGGTGACTCCAAACTGTAGATGCACATCCACGGATTACTTTGAGAGTATCACTAAAATCTATCCAGTGGTTCTTGAGATATTTTGCTAACAGAGTGACAGTGTTGACTTTAACAGGTAATGATGGTTGGTTTGTTACAATCAATCACTGAGACGAGTGAGTTTTCTGTTAATGAATGGGGGGTGGTGACGCAGAGGTTAGAGAGGTGGGCCTGTGATCCGAAGATCGCCGGTTCACGTCCCGACAACATCAAAATTATGGGTGGGGTAGGTGAAGCACCCACACTTGCCCCCACCCTCATTCACCCCACCCTGGGCCCATGAGCAAGGCCCTTAACCCCCCATCTGCTCCCCAAACAGGTCTCTCTTGAAAAATCAAAAATCACACATAGAATGTATTCATTAAAACTCCAAGTAGGAGTTTATAATAAAATCTTCTACATTCTGATAAACTTTCAAGACTCCCTGTTGTCCCAAAAAAGGGGGTTTGAAGCCCTGGAATCAGGATGATCTTGAGAAATTTGCGTCGTTTTTAAATCCCACCAAAATTGTTTAGAATTTTTAATAAAGTTGGTATCATTTCAGCAGCTGTGGCTGAGTGGTTAGAGCAGTCGTCCTCCAATGCAAGAGTTGGGGGTTCGATTCCACCATTAGTCACATGCCCAAGTGTTTCTGGGCAAGACACTGAACCCCTCATTGCCTCCGATGTGTGTCCCATCAGTGTATGGATATGATAAAGCACTGATTAGTATTTGTATAGATCTAGTAGTGCTGTATGAATGGGTAAATGAGGGCACAGATTGTAGCACAAAGCGCTTTGAGTATCTTGATCAGATAGAAAGGCGCTATGTAAGCACAGCTCATTTAAGTTGCATCCAAAACAAAGTTTACTACAACTTGGGAACTTTGATCTTTCTTTGTAACATACCTAGATGAGCATTGCAAGTCAAGATGCATCACTCGGAGTATGTGTTGAATGATGATTAGTGGTTACCACATTGAATTTTACCCATATATATTTTTTTAATTGGTTGCATTAGGCCATTTTTGTAGTCATTGGGCTGTGGCGGCCATCTTGAATTGCATTTTGTCCAAAAGTTAATAATTTCTAATTGTGGTGGGAGCCTTCTAACAGGTATGCATATCTAAAAGGATTAGCCTGTCCTTGAATCCATTGACTAAAGCTGATGGTGCATTCCTGGGTAGTATTTACCGAGCAGCCACCTGTGTTTGTCCCCGCTCTTCAGTCCCTGTCATGTCCTGTAATCCCAGCTCAAGGCTGGGCTGCAGTAAAAAGCTCTCCAGCTGCTCTGCTCGGGACAGCAAAGGCACTGAAAGGTGCTCTGCTCCGGCTGGCATGCTGCCCGGCTGCGGGTCAATACTTCCAGAGACTCGGCGACTGCAGTGAGCGCCTGGAAACATGTCTCCATCTCTGCTGCTGCTCCTCACATATACCTGCAGCTTTCCGCAAAACTTTTGTCGCTCGCAGGAGCTCCGCTTAGCTTCACAGATGACTTTATTTCGTTTCTATTTTTGTGCACCGCAAAAACCCGTGCTGCTCCTCAATGGGTCTTTAAGCCGACTGAGTGGGAGAAATCCCCGCCGGTGTTTCCCCTCGTCAACCCCCTGAACGATATATAAGCCAGCGAAAGCGGCACCCAAGTTATATACATAAGTAGGCTAATAAGTGTAAAAATGCTTTCTCGAGCTGGGTAATTTGCGCGAGGTGTAAGTTCACAGCAACTATTGTTAACGGTGTTGCGTTCAAAGACATGAGGTTTAGCTAACGGTCAATGGATGCTGGCGGCGACTTCTCCTTCCTTCGTTCGCGTCGCCACCGCTAACAAACACCCACAGACAGAAACTTAGCGTCCTTATAAACTGCTTAAAATGCAGTTAGATGGGTTTCAGCACAATGAGGGTTCTGGTGTGCCCGGCTGGACCGATAAATGCGGGAGGACCTTCCGAGAGCAGAGCCGCACACACCGCAGCAGCAACTTCTCACCGTTACTCCAAAAAAGTAGCAGCACGAGCCCAAGACACCGACAAGAGACCGTTAACTCACCGGCAAGTCCGTAAAGGATAAGAAAAGTCGCCAAGAGTCGCATTCCGTTATCCGATAAAGTCCCCGTCCTGTTCGTCGTTCTGCACTCCATAGTTTGCGTGTGTTTGTGCGCCTCGGCGCTTTCAGCTCTGTGCTCCTTTTCCTCCCCTAGCTCGTGCCTTCTCTTTCTGTGGCTCTGCCTCGCGCTCCTGGAGCTGCTCTCCATAGCGACGGGTCCGCGTGGGCCGTACCAAGTCTGCGCAACAGCAAAATGCAACGCTGCGTACCTTTCATACATCGCCTTTTTGGGTTGAATTTATGGCTTAATTTAATTTTTTCGATTAATTATGGCACCACTTACTTTCGTTTTACCGGATAAGTATCAAATAAATATGGTCAACAACCAAAAAAAAGATGATTACATACTGAACAACTAAGCTAATTATAAAATATCCTACATTTCAAAGTTGCAGTAAAGGCCACACAATGGCAACAACTCGTGTGGGTGTGGATATAAACTATAAATTCTTGAAGGAAAGCAATTTGTACTACCACAACAAATGTATCTGTAAAATTGGTTAAGTTATAGCCATTTTTGTGTTTTCTAATGTCAATTGGCCTTGGAAACAACCAAATTCAAGATGGCCACCAATACTTTATTTATTAACCTTTATTTAAAGAGGCAAATCCCATTGAGATCACATCTCTTTTGCAACATGCATGAATTTGGTCCGTGGGAGGAAACCGGAGTACCCGGAGAAAACCCACGCAAGCACGAGAAGAGCAAACTCCCCACAGAAAGACCCCAGGTTCAACTGGGGGATTGAACTCTGGACATTCTTGCTGTGAGGCAACAGTGCTAACCACTGAGCCAGCTGACTTAATCAGCTGGAGAGTTGCATTCACTGATTTTTCCCTGAAAAGTTTAAAATCCATCCAGTGGTTGACGAGATGTTTTGCTAACAGACAGAGTTTACACCAATTGGTTAATTGCTAAATTTTAAACAGAGCTTTTGCGATTTCTTGGAGCTCAGAATATGTGTTGGCGATCACTCTCAGCTACTACCGTTACCAAATGTTATGTCCATCTTTGCAAAATGGACAGAGGTACAGCCATTCTTTGTACTTCGGGAGGTCATTTGAATGTCGCTCTCGTCTTAAATTGGGTTGGCTCGAAGAGTTGATCAGTTGTATCATCTACTGATTAATTTCAAGTTTCACTGAAGTAAAGTTAGTCACATTAAAATTTGTCCTATTCATCACATGTTTTAAAAATAGACACAAAGACAAGGACAAAAACATTATGTCTTCAACTTTTGGCAGCAAACAATCATCTAGGTGTGCAATGTTGGTACAAAATGAACCTAAAAATGTTGGGATCAATTATCTGTGTGACCTATAACTTGATTTATTAACTTTAATTTTTGTTGTTGTTGTTGTTACCCAATATAGCTTTTAACCAACACAATGAATATATGACAAAGTAAATACCTTTACAAGGATACCACCAAGATTCAGACTGCCACAGTTTTTTGCATGTAGACATTTCTCTGAAACAAGCAATATTTCACTGCATGTTTTATAATGAGCATTTATTGTAGAATACCAGGTGATATGAATTTACCAACACTCCCCATATCACTGAGCTTGTACTGTGTAAACTAATGCTAATATATATTTATACTGAAGAAATTGTGTGCTCAAATGGAAACCCTAAGGAGTTGTAAAAGATTATTTTACTCCATGATGTTTTCACTAGTGGGGAATTCCCAGTTCTAGAAGTACACTGGTGGAACCAGGCATTCCAATTAACCAAAACTGCTGTAAAACCATTCATTGTTCAAACCACCATTTACTTTTCTTGGATGATTATTGCCCTTGCAGCAATGCCTGAACAAAAAAACTTGCACTTGAAACCTTTTTCCTGGTTTTGGCAGGCCCCATTGGATCAAACTATAAATCTATAGTTCTTTAGCCACCAAACCCAGCCTACATTTTTATCGGCATGTTTCTGATGCAAACTTTATACATTTGGAAGAACAAATTAAAATTCTTCTTTCAGCTGTTGCCTCTTCAGGAGTCATCTCAGCGAGTCATCCTCCATCTCTGTCCTCTGCATCCTCTGTCCTCACTTCTACCTCCATGTCCTCTCTAACTGCATCCATATATCTCCTCTTTGTCTTTGTCCTGGCTGCTGCATTTCTAACATCCTTCTACCAATATGAGTGAAGGCTGCACAGAAATCTGTCGGAATCAGTCTCCCCACCATCACAGACATCTACACCTCCAGATGCAGGAAGAGGGCCACCTGCATCATGAAGGACCCCACCCACCCAGCACACACACTTTTTGCCCCACTCCCCTCAGGAAGGAGGTTAAGGAGCATTAAGTGTAGAATCACTAGACTGAGGAACAGCTTCTACCCTGAGGCTGTTAGACTCATGAATCTCTAACTAGAATAATCACTGTGAAAAACCATATCATGTTGCTGCTGATCTGTTTCATGTTGCTGCTGATCTGTTTCAATGTTGATGTGTTCATGCGTGCACATCTGCTCACAGACTCATGTTCATGTTTGTGGTGATGTTCAATGTTTTATGTTATGAGTGCTTAGTGTATATTTAGTTGATGTTTTTCTTAGTTCATATCTTAGATGTTATTACTGTTTTTCTTATACATTTTATTGTTGGATGTAACTGGGACCCTGCGTACATAATTTCGCTCCACCACATGTACCACATGAGGTGCGAATGACAATAAAGAAACTCTGACTCTGACTCTGACAATATACCCGTTTGTCAGCAGCACGGATAGTGGTTGTTGTTATCTTAGGCCTTGACGATGTGATATGATTGGACAAACTCAAATGTTTGTTTCGGCAAAAGTGTTTCACATCAGGTACCCTAACAGATGAAACCCTCACACTTTCTCCAGGCTTGGGATACACAGCACATAAGAGATAGGAGATACACCGGCTTGTGCTCCCTAGGGAACTACTTGAAATATGAAGCATAATCAAAGCCAAAGTTTCTTTATTTGTCATACATGTGGTGCATGTGGTGGAACGAAATTGTGTACACAGGGTCCCAGGTACATCCAACAAAAGTATAAAATGTAAAAGAAAAACAGTAATAAGATCTAAGATATGAACTAAATAATAATATTGTAAGTATAATTCAAATTCTAAAGGGCTTGGGACAATGTGTAAAATGTGAATAAAGACAGATTGTAATAATTTTCAAATCTTATAAATCCACTTTTTATTCTCAATGGAACGTAGTAAACATATCAGTAAGTAATTGTACTATTTTTGGATGGGAAATGAGGCACTTTTCAAATTGACAGTAGCAACACATGTGAAAGAAGTTGGAAAACGGTGTCTAAAGGCTGTAAAAATAAGTGGAACAGCTGAATAATTAACAACAGGTCAGTAAGAGGATTGGGTATTAATAGAACATTTTAGACGGGATCAATCTCTTAGAAGTAAAGATGGACAGAAGTTTACCACTTTGTGGAAAACATCTAAAATGAGTGGAACAATTGGTGTAATTATTTTAGCCCATACTGCCATGTGTTATATTGTAATGAGGGCAAATAAGCATGAATTTTATGCAATTTAAAGCAGATCTTTCTGCTTTAAACAAGTTGTTATGTTGACAATGTTTAACCAGAGTTTTATTTTAAAATTCTGGGGAGAACAAGGAAACAAGTTAATGGAAAGTCCAGGAGGGTGTCTGGTTGAAGGACAAAGCTGTCACATGTCCGTAACGTGTTGAAAACGTGTTCTCTGCAGTCGCGCTGCAACTCCTCTGTCCTAAAACAAAGTGGTAATGAAGAAGCCCTGCATTGTTCTTTTCCTTGAGATAATTACAGCTTTTACTCATTCAGGAATCCCATGCTGCCTGCAGCAGGGCTATTATCAAGAGCTGACGCTTGAAGCGTTAAACTTGCTCCCTCAGCAGTTTTAGGCAGACATCATATTCAGTCTCTGAAGATAAGCAAAACAATAATAACAATAATGCTCGTCTCATTGTGGCTCTCCTGCATTGAGCCACCAGTCCCACTTTACATTGCCGTCCCCAGTTTGTCTTTGCTTGGAGTCCTCATCAGGAGACGTGGACACTGCAGGGACTCTTCCAGCGCTTGCAGCTCAGCTTGACTGTGATTAAAGCATGACCCATGATGTGTCACCGCACTGTACCCGCAGCTTTTATAACCTCTGGAAGGTTATTTATATCCTCAAAGAGCGATAAATCCCCTGGTGAAAGTGTTGCCCTTTACTCCAATCAATCTTACCCCCTGGATCACTTTACATTGGATTGGTGAAGTTGGTGCAATAAGAAGAGAGGTCTTTTTATGAAATTAATTTTTCACAGGTACTAACTGCAATGCTTGAAGATCTGGGAAAACAATCAAAAAGTAAGAAACAAAATATGCACAATTTTCACGTTAATGCGTCTTCAAATTATAAATGGTAAATGGACTGTACTTATATCGTGTTCCTATCTTATACAGATACTCAAAGTGCTTTACACTACAATCTGTGCCCTCATTTACCCATTCATACAACACTACTAGATCTCTACAAAGATAATTGAACAAATCATTCTAAAGAGACTAATCAGAGCTTTATCACATTCATACGCTGATGGGACACACATCAGAAGCAATGAGGGGTTCAGTGTCTTGCCCAGGGACACTTTGGCATGTGACTGGCTGCTGGTGGATTCGAACCGCCAACTCTTGCATTAGAGGACGAGTGCTCTAACCACTCAGCCACCGCCGCCCAATTATAAATTTACAAGCAAAATTTGTGAACGATGCCACTTACCTCGTGTGCTTGTTTACCTATGGAAGCAGCCAAAGTGACTGAACATTGGTCAACAATGGCGATGTCCATTAAAAACAACATTAAAATTGTCAATATGCTGCTCTCCAAGTTTGTCAAAAGCTGCATTTGAATATAATGCAATGCATTTATGTTGCTCCACGCCCATCTTGATCCCCAACATTTATTCTTGATATCTGTCTTACTCACTTGGTCTTCTATCATGTTTAGCAGCAGCTTCACTCTTTTAAATGTCTTCTTTTTGTTTCTACTCATGTCCGATTCTATTTGTTTACCTCCTCACACCACAGCCAGCCATAGGTCAGTCACATGATTCAAGATTTCATGTGGTGTTTGACAGAT